TTTTTGGTTTTTGGTCGGAAAGGTTAGAGTTTGATGTTTGAGGATGGTGAAATGGAGAAGTATATATAGTTGGTGTTTGTTATGTATATGAATTATATTGCCTTCTGTCTTTTTTCAGTTAGATTAACGCGGATTTACGTGCTTAGCACCACCATTGATTGAGGCTCGAGAGATCTGAAGGACATACCAAACTTTAAGTGAGGCTCGTGTTTTTTTTATAATATATGATGGTGAGTTCTTCATTTTTGGGTGTAAATTTTAATTTATAAGAGCAATGACCATGAATTTGATAATGCGAAAAAAATGTAAAAAGTCAAACCCTCAAAGGTACTACCTTTTGATGGACTCTTACTATTAATTGTTTAATGTTGTCATATAGCTTGCCACGTCTTTGGAAACTACCAACTAGGTTGAAATTTGGAAAATGGAATCTAATCCACGGGGCCCGCCGGGGCCGGGTCATGAAATGGATGACCCTAACACGGCAGTCCGGGGCCGGAAGCCCTTGGCCATGTCTACTACCTACCCCATATGGTCTATATCAGACTGAACAAAAGATTCTCAAGTGTGCTAGTATAGCATTCACTACTCTAAAAGAAGCAGCAGAAATTGAAATCAATAAAAAATATCATCTCGACTTAATGATCACGAAGCAACGTGCTCTTCTTCAGCTCTATCGAACGCTGTACTTGAAGTAGAAAACTAAAGGAGCAGCTAGTAACATATGTTAGGATTTGACAGACAAACATTGTACAGTTCACTTGAAGCTTCAGACAAGCTTCTTCAACCAAGCCAATGTTTTACAACATACGCAAACAACAGAAACTTTATTTCTTCATATAAGACATCCCACCAGAAGAGGAACCATATATACAGTAAAAAACGAGCGACAGAATATGCACCAAATGCACATTCATAAACACATACTAACATCACGTGACTTTACCTGCACCAAGTGGCATTCTTTTCGCGATAGTTCCCCTGCTGTAGTGAGAAAGTAAGCTATTGTATTCGACGATTCGTAACCCCCTTCACAGCTGTTTTACCTGCTTTTTCTGCAGGTACAGAGAACATCAGATATTTGATATCCTTTAATACCACGTGTACAAAGGATGGTATATTAGATAGAAAACTGTGGATGCAGAATAACAAGCGCTAGTCAATATTAAACTTGAGGAAATTAATTAACTTACTATTAAAAATCGTATCTTTTACAATAATATCTGTATACTATAAAACCAAACCAGCTAGATCTCATTTAACCATAAGTTACATAATCTCCTCGAATGGAAGCTATATGGTATGAAGTACCAAGAAGGCAAAAGAATGTCTCTAACCAAACAACACTCACTTCTGGACAAAACCCATCACACACTAAACCCTCAAGCCAAACTATCTGATCTCTTGCCAAACTCTCGTCTTATAATTTCGAAAACCAGCTCGTTCCACGTATCCACCGGGCCAGGCATGCACCAGTGCAGGCAATCCTGAGGCGGCGGCCTCCCGTCCAGTCCCCTCTTAGTAACCTTATTCGGGTCTGGGCTTCGGTATGGGCCCGGATGCCCATCATGCCGATACGAGAAGGCTTCCGTGATATCCAGCAGTGTCATTCTGGATTTGTTCGCCTTCTTCTTCAACGCGCGATTGAAGCCCGTCACCTGCTTCTCATGCATTATGTTGGTAAACCCATTCTCGACCAGTTTGCCTTCCTCGGCTGGCTGTACTTTCCCCGTGCAAGACCCGCCTGTATTCCAGGCTCCGCCTTCGTAATGGTCAGGCGAGAAGCTCCGGACAATGGTGAGGCCTGTGTAGTTGGGATGCGTGGCCAACGCGGTGAGAATGGACTCGACCGACACCCCGAAAGCCCCAATGTTGTCGATTTTCTTCTTTCGAGAGTTATCGGGCCACCATAGCTGGCCCCCAACAATCTCATTGTTCAAAACGTAGACCGACTGCTTGGCAAACCAGTGGCCTGAGGAAAGGACGATCACGTCGAAGTCTGTGATGTAGTCCATGAAGACCTCGTCTGGGCCGTCCAGGTGAAGTTTGACCACACCAGCTGGTGCAAAGTCTAGCGGGTCAGATGTCTGGTGGACGAGCCAGGAGGACCATATGCGGACAATCATTGTGGATGTGGACCTGAAGTAGTAACGTTGCATTCGCTTGTTGCCTCGGTTCTTGGGGGCCTCGACCTGAGAGAAGAGAGAGGGACGGGCAAAATTTTAAACAGTGTCAATCAATGAAGTAGGGGCTTCGCATGAGTATTAAATACAGATAATTCTGCAAGTAACAGATCAACTTCTAGACATGTTCAGGAAGTCCAGGAATCAACTTAACCCCACACATATGAAATGAAACACACATTATACTCAGAGTCTCAGACGGTCAAAATGGGAGGACACTATAAAGTTCACAGATGTATTTGAATAGTGACCTGAACAATCACAGTGCAACAAGACAAGACATTGCAACTCAAAACACAGGTGCAACAATGGGACCTTATGCATCTTCCTTGGACAAAACAGTTCAGTTTCTAATATGGCACACAACGATAGCTGCAGCCAAGTTTTCAACAGAAAAACGACTTGTGTCATTATCTTTTCAATGAAATGCGATGTCTATCATTCCTGAAAATTACTGTAGCTTCGTTTTTATTCCTATGTTAACAGAGAAGCAACAATTATTCGTAGGTCTTTTCATTAATCATTCCACATAATGCAGAATCATGTCGATTTTGTCCTATTTTTGCCTTCGTGAGGTTAAGCAGAAAACACATGCTTTTCATGATGCAACTGAAAATAATACAAATTACACACACACACACGCGGAGAGAGAGAGAGAGAGAGAGAGAGAGAGAGAGAGAGAGAGAGAGAGAGGAGGGGGCAGTAAAACAATAGCTACTTTAGTAAATGTCACTCTAAATAAGGATTATCAAACAAATAATTGAGAAGGGACGATTGGCCAAGAAACAGTTTCGCAGTTAGAAATTATTAACTGGATAGAATAAGTAAAGAAGTATGTAACTGAATGTATCATCAATTTGAGATATAGGCCTGTCTTCTAACCTGCCACAGGATACACAACATTGATTCCATCTGATTCCGGGCAACTGAATCACCAATAAAAGCTAAAGTTTTTCCTCTCATTAACTCCAAGAACTTCTTTGGATCAAATCTTGGGATTTCACATTGGGATGGTTTCCATCTCCAGTTCTCATAATCTTTGTCTGGCCTTCCATTCCCTTGGCAGTTCTGCATCTGAGTGATCACAGGACATGAGTTATTTGTGTACAGAGGCCCCTTCGGGTCATGAATCCATTTTCCATGCGAAAGATCACAATCTGAAATATGGTTGGTATAAATTATCATCAGATAATATGAAGAATAAATATGAAATGTAACCCACAATAAACAAGCTTTCTATTTTACTTCAAATAAATTAGTAGCACATCCAACATTATGTACACTCTGCTGCCATAATGACTTCTGACATCAATTCAAGCCAGGCATGCTCAAAACTTGAGTTAAAAAAATTTCACTACTGAAAAAATAATTCTCAATCTGCCAAGTCAAAGCCACAGATACAAAGCCAGTCATTAGAACAACTTGAAGAGATTGTGTGCTAGAACATTATCTAGCTAGTCAGGAGGGAAGGAAATTTTGAAAACCGACGTGCAGTGTAGCGACGCAGTACAAATTAGTCAATAAGCATTTTACAAATTTCTAAAAGTACTTCTCCTGTAATAAAATAAATCTGGACAATTATAGGTGCCAAATCAAGGATCTACTTTCTTTTAAGGAAACAGTGGGGATTATAAGTCACACGCTCAAAATGCTAACAGACGACCTATAAAATTAAACTAGGGCTCAATTCAACCACTGAGAATTAACTAGTAAGTAGTAACTGATGTGAAATTATGTTCATTTTAGATTCACTATATCTACATCAAAAGAATACATATCACAGATAACAAATTTCTAAAGAAGGAAAAAAAATAAGAAGACGGACAATGACAGAAGCAGCACGTATGCCTCAAAATCGAGAGCTGGCCACTCATTTCAAAACACAACGAAAAGAGTACCTGAATCAACAAATTTAGCTTGACTCTGCTCGGTGGTAGAATCAGAAGACTCCACAACCTCCGTTATTTCATTTGGCACATTAGTGGAGGAGGACGATGCATTTTTACTAAAACCAGCATCATTTGGAGATGGAATCCTGTTGCCATCCTCTTCAAGAGGTACCTTTGACTCTTGGATCTTTTCCTTTGAATTCTCGGATACTACTTGTCCTGAACCTGAAATTTCAGTCTTCTCTTGCGATACTGGAGTCCGATTATCTTCACCAAATTCAGAAGATTTAGTACCACCATGTTGAGAATTAACTTCAATTCCATTCCCTTCCGGAAAAGTTAAATTTGATTTCTGTACGTCTTCAATCTGATTGACATTGTAGCTGGAATCGGGACTTGGATGAATGGTGGCAGACCCTGAATCAATTTTGCTCAAGCTCTCAACACCATAGAAGTACCCACGAACAGTAGAACCAATGGGTTGCGAGAGCAAAAAGGTGGAAGCAAGAAGTAAGAATACGGCAAGACCACCAACTGAAGCAACAATAGAAAGAAGGGCTTTTGGGTAAGCCGATTTAGGCCATTCTTTAATCGAAACAGAAGTCATGGCTCACTTATTGAAACTAGATATAAAATCCGGTATCAACACCTTCACTAATTTCTGCTTTTACTAACTTTCCACATTCGCGGGGGTCACCGATCTTTCCCTTTCATGAAAACAACATTTAAAGAGACCTATTCCAACACACACATGGCCCAGATATATCCATACACATATCAAGCATCACCAACATTCATCATCCTCCACTAATCCATCACATAACTGCAGAAAATCAAGAAGATGAGAAATATAGCAATCAATGAGCAAAGCTTAGATATCGCATCAGATGATAACTGAAACAATAAACGAGCAACCCAAACAATGCAACCTCATTTGAAAGTAAAATTTCATGGCGAACCAGAACAAAAGACAAATGATTTCTATCATAAGACCTCCCTGAGAAAAAAAATACCCAGATTCAAGTCAATTGAATCTGATGCTTAAATTCAGCCAACTCCCGCTCAACAAGCAGATACTGGTAAACAATATGAAAACGAATCAGAAAAATTGATTACCTGATCTCAACAGGCCATGGACATCGAAGCGATGGAGAGTCGGCGACCATGGGGAAGTTAAATAAGAGAGAGATATAATGTAATGATTAAGCGAGTATTGGATCTGGAGAGAGAAATTCTTTTGTTGTTGACAAAGAATAAATTGGAGATTGATAAGCTATAGGATTCTGGGGATTTTCGATCAAAATACCAATGATTATTCTGCGAAATTCTCGTACAATGGCGGTTCGAAATCCAATTTGTGCAATTGTGTGATTTGTGAGCGGTGAGGAATTAGGCAGAGTTCAAAAAATATGCAAGGTAATTATTATGTTGTCATTTGTCAATTTAATTTTATTTAGAGAAAATAAAAAAGCGCGTCATTCAAGTTGGTCCCAACTAGGGGTGAGACCGAACCGAACATAACAGGTTTGGTTCGGTTATTTTTTGCATAAACAGGTTCTCAGTTTCTTTCTAAATGTTTGTGTATTAACCGAAAAATCAACTATATATATATGAAATATACATGTTTTATATGTTTATATATAAATCGGTTCCGGTTTTTGGTATATAATATCCGGTTCCTCATTTTTCATTTCGCTTCTCGGTTTTTCATGATACAATTAGTCCATGAATTGTAATTTTTTGGTCGGTTATATTGAACTCTGATGAACACAGAAGAGAGAGAGAGAAGTAGAAGAGAGAAAAGGAAAAAAGACGATTGAAATTTCTGAGAATGAAAAAAGTGTGTACAATGTGCTGGGTTCCCCTATTTATACTTAAGGTTAAAACACAAAAAGTGTTGAACGTCAAATAACAATTTTAAGCTAAAAATACAACTTTACTTATCCTAATACAAAATATCTAATATACTAATACCCCCCGCAAGATTGACATGGATATTATTCATGTTAATCTTGGATAACAAATGGAAAAAGGCAGGCTTTGGTAGGGGTTTGGTGAACAGATCTGCAAGTTGATCAGCTGTAGGGAGATAGTGAAGCTTGATCAGTCCTTCGGTGATTTTCTCTCTAATTAAGTGGCAGTCAATTTGTATGTGCTTGGTCCTCTCATGGAAAACTGGATTTGTAGCAATGGCCATGGATGATTGACTGTCTGAGAACAAGGAAACTGGAGAAGAGTGTGAGATATGAAAATCATTAAGCAAGTAAATTAGCTATTGTATTTCACAAGAAGTTGTAGCCAAGGCTCTGTATTCAGCCTCAGCTGAAGATCTGCTAATTGTACTTTGCTTTTTCGATTTCCAAGAGATAGGAGAATCTCCTAAAAAATGCAATAACCAGTAATGTTTTTTCTGGTATTGAGGCAGCTTGCCCAGTCACTATCAGAAAAGGCATTTAACTGTAAAGATGAGGTTCTAGGGAAGAAAATACCTTTACCCACTGTACCTTTGACGTACCTCAGAATTCTATGTGCAACAGATAAAAGAACTTTTGTAGGTTTTGCTAAAAATTGACTAAGACTCTGAACACTATAAGATAGGTCAGGTCTGGATATAGTCAAATATAGCAACCTACTTATTAATCTTCTGTACTCAGTAACATCAGTAAGTTCAGAATCATCAGTGGCAGCAAGTAATTTTAAAGAATTAGCCATAGGAGTGGAAGCAGGTTTGGAGTCTAAAAAACCAGTATCAGTGAGTATGTCCAAAGCATATTTTCTTTGGCACATGTTTATACCATAGTCAGAGTGGGCAAATTCCAAACCCAATATATATTTCAGCTTACCCAGGTCTTTGATTGTAAAGCAAGAATGTAAATGTTGTTTTATGGCATTTAGATCATCAATGTTATTCCCAGCAAGGATCACATCATCAACATATACAAGTAAGGCCACGAAAAATGATGTTGCAGGATTAAACATAGTAAACAGAGAGCAATCAGCAGTTGATTGTTTGAAACCATAAGATAGTAAACAGGATGTAAGTTTTTGAAACCATTGCCTAGATGTCTGTCTAAGGCCATATAGGCTTTTAATAAGTTTACAAACCCTGTTGTCAGAAGGCAAGCAATAACCTGATGGAGGTTTCATATGCACTTCTTCATCTAGGTCACCATGCAAAAAGGCATTGTTGACATCTAGTTGAAGAAGGTGCCAGTTTTTTATAGATGCTAAGGCTATGAGGAATCTGACTGTAGTTATTTTAGCTACAGGAGAAAATGTTTCAAAATAGTCAATGCCTTCCTCTTGTGTATAACCTTTAGCAACTAATCTGGCCTTATATCTTTCTATTGTTCCATCAGAGTTGTACTTTATTTTATAAACCCACTTACACCCAATGCAATGTTTACCCTTAGGCAAGTCAGTTAAAATCCAAATATTTGTTTTTTCTAAAGCATCTAGCTCTTTTTTCATTTCACATTGCCATAGAGGGTCCTTTGCAGCTTGAGTATAAGTTTTAGGTTCATTTTGCAAAGAAATTGATGCAGTGAAGCAAGCATGAGTATCAGATAATTGAGCAGTAGATAAGTAAGATGATATAGGATGTTTAGAATGTTTTCCAGATGTGCTTAATGATGTGTTAGAGACTGAGGAGTTTGGTTAGGAGTGTTTGTATATATTTAAGTAAGAAGGTGGTCTGGGTACTCTAGTAGATTTTCTGGTAGGTTGATTTTGAACTGGTAAGTTGGTGAGGGCATTGGCAGAATGAGGCTGTGGGGATGTAGTTGTAAGTGAGTTTGGAGAAGGATGTGGAGGAGTGTTTGGAGAGGGAATAGTTGTAGTGGTAATATCAGTAGTAGGGTTAGACTGTGTAGTTGGAGAAATGTTTGGAGAAGCTATATTATCTGTGTGATCAAAGGAAGGAGCTGGAGGGAATAAAAGATCAGTTTGAGTATTAGAGTGAAAGGGAAACACATCTTCATAAAATTGCACATTTCTGGAAATGAATGTTTTCTTGGTATCAAGGTTGTAAAGTTTGTAGCCTTTACAACCTATGGGATACCCAAGAAATATGCATTTAGTAGCCCTGGAGTCAAATTTAGATCTATTTGCAATAAAAGTAGATGCATATGCCAGACAACCAATAACTCTGAAATGATCATAAGTGGGTTTTCTTTTGTATAAAACTTCAAAAGGAGATTTGTTTTGTAAAACATGTGTAGGAACCCTGTTTATGATATGAGTAGCTGCAAGGATGCAATCAATCCAGAAAGTAAGAGGTACGTGAGCATGAAAAAGTAATGCCCTAGCTACCTGAAGTAAGTGTTGATGCTTCCTTTCTATCCTACCATTTTGTTGAGGGGTTTCTACACATGATGTTTGATGCAAAATGCCAATATTTGTATATAAGTCTGATAAAAGAAACACTGTGCCATTGTCAGATCTCAAAACTTTTATTTTCTTTTCAAACTGGTTTAAAACCATGCTATAAAAATGATAGAGACTCTGCTTTGTATCTGACTTAACACTCAAAGGATTTATCCAAGTGACTCTAGTGTGATCATCCACAATGGTTAAAAAATACTTGTAACATTCATGAGAAGTAACAGAAAAGGGGCCCCACAAGTCACAATGGATTAGATCAAAAGGTTCAGATGCAATAGAGTTACTTAAAGGAAAGGACAGTTTCTTTTGTCTGGCAAAGTGACAAACATCACATGGATTAGAATGCATGTCATGCATGATGAAGATGTAATGTGTAATTGATTCAACTTGGAGTAAGACAAGTGTCCCAGTCTGAAATGTCATGTGTCATTGTTCTTAATTGAAGAACATACAGTTTTATCATTTACATGTAAAGAAAAGTTTACAAGTAAATTGTTGCAATGAGTATGAGATAAAGTGGACAAATCAAAATGATAAAGACCATCTGTCAGGTCAGCAGAACCAATCAGTTTCTGAGTTAGCATGTCCTGTACAACACAATGGATGGATAGAAATTGGACAATGCAATTGATGGAGGAGACCAACTTTGATACAAATATAAGGTTGAAAGTAAAGTTGGGCACATAGAGAGCATCATAAAGAATCATAGAAGCAGACAATTGAACATTTCCTCTATAGCATGCTTTTGTGAACTGACCATTGGGCAAGTTAATTTTGATATATACTAATGATGGTTTATCACAGAAAAAGAATAAGTCACAGATCATGTGATCTGTGGCTCCTGTGTCCAAAATACAAGTATCTTTAGACATAGTCCTAGTAGCTAAGCATGTAATAGAATCAGAAGTACCTGTTGCATTGTGAATAGCAGTTGCTACAACAGGATTAGTGGAAAGTCCTGATTGTTTGTTCTGCTCCTGTGCCTTTTTGAAGGCTACAAACTCATGAAACAAATCATCAGTGATAGTATGTGATGAGGTAACTGGAGGGATAGTAGGTTCATTGTGAATGGGCTCAGTTTAAGTAAAGTAGACAGAGGGCTTGGGGTTGGGTCTGGGACCTTTAGGACCAATCCAGTTAGAAGGATAACCAACAATTTGGAAGCACTTGTCAGCTGTGTGACCATTGTATCCACAGTGTGTGCATTTGAGTTTCTTTCTGTCT